CCTATTCCTCTGCGGGGCAACCTGCATATGGCCAATAAAGCATTCATTCAATTCATTCATTCATTCATTCAATTCAATTCATTCAATTCATCCACATGTGTTGCAACCTGGCTCAACCCTTCTTTGGCACATGCTTAAACATTTGAGTGATAGACATGTTTACGTGTTTTTATTTTTCCCATAGAGGAGGAGCTTGCCAGGGTGCGGTCAGCCTTTGTTTGGAGGGTGTCAACAGAAATCCTTAAACAGCTCCTGGAGGCCCTTGTAAGTGACGGTGTTTTAAATGAATTGGAGAAAGAATCGATACTGGAGAAGAACCCAGTCAGAGCAGATAAGGCACGCTGCTTCATCGACACAGTGAGGAAGAAAGGGGACAAAGCCAGCAGGACAATGATCAGATATCTTCAGACTATAGATCTCTCCCTTTTCTCTCAGCTGCGTTTATACTCTGATTCATCTGCTCAACAAGGTGAGGTCACTTTTTTTCTGCAAGAATGGTCTCTTTGCATGGTTTATTGAGATGTGAGAGAGTTAACCCTCACAATACAATGTAAGAAAAAGGAGAGGGCAAGAACATCATTCTTTGTCATACATTTGTATTTGTTAAAGTGTTGTTCACAAAGAAAACATTTTTGAAGTGCTGTGGAGTAATTTTGAAGGCCGTCATAAATCTATGGCCAGTCTGACTACAAACTTGCTTAGCAACATGTTGAAACTGACGAACTGAAAAATAATACGGCGGAAAAGGATAAATGTTGTACTTGTTTTGTGTGTTGTACTTAAAGAGATAAACAAAATTATTATACTTTAGTATTATATTATACTAGAATATTTAACAAATTTATTTTACATATCTGTTTAACTTAAAATAGACTACTCAGAATCACTCTTTGAAATACATACTACGACCACTGTCTGAAAACTTTAGTTATATTTAAGGCCAGTCGTATTTAATTGTTAAAACCATGCTAATTGATTCTTAAAAAACGTTCAAGTTTCATTCATGTGACTTGAGCGTTTCAGAAATCCTTTAAGAAAAATTATTCAATTTTAAAAGTAACAATTGACAGATCCCTATTCCCATTTAAAGTAGGAATTTAATGTGAATTGCTGAGCATTCCTTAAGATGCTTCTTTTAAACAGCTGAGTTAGCAGTAGGAGGACATTATGACACTTTATGTGATAAATTTTGGGAGTAAAATTTGAAGTGGCCCAGAGAACTGGAAACTTGTTTAGCCTGGACATGTGGGCATTGCTTACCTATGAAAAGCCACAAAGCCCAATATAATTTTATAAACTTAAAGATTCCTAAAAGTTTTGTGATTATCTGTTGCACTCCAGACTGAGCATCACTTTACTGAATGAAGCCAAATGTGTTTTTCATGACCTTAGGGTAAAACAAGTGTACAGAATATAACAAACCAAACAAAGAAAGGATGTGAAGAGACAGGAACCTCTTCATTTAGCAACCAACATTTTCAGTCCCCCTGAAAATGCTACATTCAGATGAACAGTACTAAATTTTGGGGATTAACTTACCCTGGTGATTGTGCATGCATTAAGCATTAAGAGTTCCTTTCACTGGAACTAAGGGGCTGAGCCCAACTCCTGAAGAACAACTTGCAGCTGCTTGGTCATGGAAACTCATTACATGAAGCTCTCAATGCACTGTGTTTCAGCTAAGCTAAAGGCCGCTTGAAATTTGGAGCTAACTAGCTATCCAAAAAGTTGGGCACCACTACACACTATATGCCTGACCATCGGCAGATGCCACTCTGTGATTTTACCTGGCCTAGCACTTTGTGGCTGAAGTGTTATCATTCCCATTCACTTCCACTTTTTTAATAGATGGCAGTGAGGAAATTTCATAACAGGACTTATTCCACATATGGGACATATGCTATTGTGGTAGCATGTTGGACCTATTCTTTCACAAGTGTTTGTAGAAGCAGTCCAGATGCTTAGTTTTATACACACGGACATGGAAGTGATTGGAGCACCTAAATTCAATCATTTAAATGAGTGAGTGGATACTTTTGGCAATGTAATGCACTCACTCACTAAGTCTTGCTTCTTTCTTTGATGTTGTTTGGACTACTTTAGAACTGACTTTGATCTGCTGTTAATTATATTTATTCTTTTACTTCAGAGTCTCTTCAAAATTGTCAGCCGAAACTTAAATCCAAACTGAAGAAGAAGTTCCAGTGTGTGTTTGAGGGGGTTGCTAAAGCAGGAAACCCAACCCTTCTGAATAAGATCTACACAGAGCTCTACATCATAGAGGGAGGGACTGCAGAGGTCAATGAGGAACATGAGGTCAGACAGATTGAAACTGCATCCAGGGAGCCAGATAGACCAGAAACAACAATCAGACAAGAAGACCTCTTTAAAGACTCATCTGGAAGAGATGAACCAATCAGAACAGTACTGACAAAGGGAGTGGCTGGCATTGGGAAAACAGTTTTAACTCAGAAATACACCCTCGGCTGGGCTGAAGACAAAGCCAACCAGGACATCCAGTTCATATTTCCATTCACTTTCAGAGAGCTGAATGTGCTGAAAGAGGAAAAGTTTAGCTTGGTAGAACTTGTTCATCACTTCTTTACTGAAACCAAAGAAGCAGGAATCTGCAGCTTTGAAGACTTCCAGGTTGTGTTCATCTTTGATGGTCTGGATGAGTGTCGACTTCCTCTGGACTTCCACAAAACTACAATCCTAACTGACCCTAGAAAGTCCACCTCAGTGGATGTGCTGCTGATAAACCTCATCAGGGGGAAACTGCTTCCCTCTGCTCGCCTCTGGATAACCACACGACCTGCAGCAGCCAATCAGATCCCTCCTGACTGTGTTGGCATGGTGACAGAGGTCAGAGGGTTCACTGACCCACAGAAGGAGGAGTACTTCAGGAAGAGATTCAGAGATGAGGAGCAGGCCAGCAGGATCATCTCCCACATCAAGACATCACGAAGCCTCCACATCATGTGCCACATCCCAGTCTTCTGCTGGATCACTGCTACAGTTCTGGAGGATGTGCTGAAAACCAAAAAGGGAGGACAGCTGCCCAAGACCCTGACGGAAATGTACATCCACTTCCTGGTGGTTCAGGCCAAAGTGAAAAAGGTCAAGTATGATGGAGGAGCTGAGACAGATCCACACTGGAGTCCAGAGAGCAGGAAGATGATTGAGTCTCTGGGAAAACTGGCTTTTCATCAGCTACAGAAAGGAAACCTGATCTTCTATGAATCAGACCTGGCAGAGTGTGGCATCGATATCAGAGCAGCCTCAGTGTACTCAGGAGTGTTCACACAGATCTTTAAAGAGGAGAGAGGACTGTACCAGGACAAGGTGTTCTGCTTCATCCATCTGAGTGTTCAGGAGTTTCTGGCTGCTCTTCATGTCCATCTGACCTTCATCAACTCTGTAGTCAATCTGCTGGAAGAACAACAGACATCGTCCTGGTGGTCAAAATTTTTCAATGCACCAAAACTACAGCATGTCCACCAGAGTGCTGTGGACAAGGCCTTACAGAGTCCAAATGGACACCTGGACTTGTTCCTCCGCTTCCTCCTGGGTCTTTCACTGCAGACCAATCAGACTCTCCTACGAGGTCTGCTGACACAGACAGGAAGTAGCTCACAGACCAATCAGGAAACAGTCCAGTACATCAAGAAGAAGCTCAGTCAAAATCTGTCTGCAGAGAATAGCATCAATCTATTCCACTGTCTGAATGAACTGAATGATCGTTCTCTAGTGGAGGAGATCCAAAAATCCCTCAGATCAGGATGCCTCCCGGTAGATAAACTGTCTCCTGCTCAGTGGTCAGCTCTGGTCTTCATCTTACTGTCATCAGAAAAAGATCTGGATGTGTTTGACCTGAAGAAATACTCTGCTTCAGAGGAGGCCCTTCTGAGGCTGCTGCCAGTGGTCAAAGCCTCCAACAAAGCTCTGTACGTAAATATGTACTAATCCCTGTATTTGTAACATGAAGAGTGTAAATGGTGTTGCCCCCTTTTTAAAAAATGATATAACTTAATGATCATCAGAAAAAAATCAAATACTTCAAATTGCTACTAGGGTGACATGTTTTGGGGTCTTTAACCCACAGTGGTCCTGGGTCTTCAACCTAGAGTTCTGAGTTTTCATTGCTTGGCTCAGAAGCCTCAGCTTTTAATATTAGCCAGATGCACTGCTGAGCATCCCTAGCCTCTGGAGTCTCCATCGAATCCTGTGTTGCCTTTGAACTCGACGCTGCCGCCTGTGGTCACCATGCCACTGCCTGAACTGGAACCCAAACATGAGGTTCTTGTGTCAGTTGAACCTTGGCCTGAGCCAAAGCCTAAGGCTCCCATATCACCTGAACATGAACCAGAGCCAGAGAATCCCAACTAGCCTGCACTTGAGCCTGAGCTCACTAAATCTACCAGTAACTCACTAATTTCAGTCTAGATATATCAATATAATTGTGTTTCTACCAAGAACATTTCAGTGTTTTATTTATTTATTTTTTAGAGTTATAGTTAAGTTTTTCACCTGGCCATGAATTGTAATATATGTAGACATTATTAGATTTTCTTGTCTAGGGACAAGGTATAACCTTTTGTGTTTACGTCAAAGTTGTTATATTTGGTTGTTTGTTTGTTTTTTCAGACTGAACAGCTGTAACCTCTCAGAGAGGGTGTGTGAAGATCTGTTTTCAGTTCTCAGTTCCCAGTCCTGTAGTCTGAAAGAGCTGGACCTGAGTACCAACAGCCTCGGGGATTATGGAGTGAAGAAGCTTTTAGCTGTGGTGCAGAGTCCACACTGCAAACTGAATATTCTAACGTCAGATAATATTATGTTTTGTTTTTTTAATCAATTCACAAAATTAACCAATTAAAACATTTACATTTTTAATGTAAGTTAGAGTAAAAAAAAAAATCACGTCTAACCTGCACAGCACAAGACAATAAGGATTCTTTAAAATGCAAGGACTAATTATTACTATTGATCCGGGTTGCATTATAACAATGTAGTCTTTTGTATTTTTCATGTCTTCATTTTCAGATTGAGCATCTGTAACCTCTCAGAGAGCAGCTGTGAATCTCTGTCTTCCTTTCTCAGCTACAAGTGTTCTAGTCTGAGAGAGGTGAACCTGAGTGTAACCAACCTGCACGCTCCAGGACTGAAACTTCTTTCTTCTGGTCTGCAGAGTCAGAACTCTAACTTGAGTAATTTGAGGTCAGATCAAATAACATTTTGTTTGTCAAAATTAATCAATTAAATATTTCGACCAAGGTCATCTACATGCTATTGTATCTTAGCTTGGTGTTGAGGTTTTCTAAAGCAGTGTTTCCAAACCACTGTGCCATGGCACAAAGGTGTGCCACAAAGATTATTTTGTTCCACCTGTTTAGTACTCTAAGCAACTGGCGTGAGTAACAGGCAGAACAATTACATTTTCTTCCACTAGAGGGCAGTACCAGTACCTGCTCTAATTAAATGGGTTGCCACCAAAACAGAAGAAGACAAAGAAGAAATTACATAATATTCACGCTGTCAGTGAGACAATGCAGCGTGTCATAGCAATAGATAAATATTTGAAAAGAAAAAGTAGTCAGTCTGACCTGGGTCCTGAAGAAAATTCCAACCCAGATAAAGGCCCTAGCATGAGTAGTGGTCAGAAGAAAACAAAAAAGGTATACTGGGGACAAACTGAGCCAATTCCGCTATGCCTGGTGCATGGGGAAAAATTATAAATATACTTTTTGTGACATTTTTGTTTGGTAGTGTGCTGTGTCATGTTTTTAATGTGAAATATGTGCCATGGCTCCAAAAGGTTGGTAAACACTGTTCTAAAGAAAGAGGACTAAATATTGCTAAACTTCATACTGCACCATATTTGTTTTATTGTTTGTCTTTTATTTTTCAGACTGAGTCACTCTAACTTGTCACAGAGAAGCTGTGGAGCACTGTCCTCAATTCTCAGTTCCCAGTTCTCAAGTCTGAGAGAGCTGAACCTGAGTAACAATGACCTGCAGGATTCAGGAGTGGGGCTTCTGTCTCATGGACTAGAGAGTCCATATTGCACATTGGAAACTCTCAGGTCAGCATTCTAACTTTTCCACTGATCATTTAAAATATAAAATATATTATTGCAAAAAGAGCAGTTTTAGAATACATTTTTCTACAATCTGATTTCTTGAAATTAGATTTTTATCTGATCTGAGTCTCACTTCAGCAGCACTTCCATCCACTTCCATATATAAGAATTATTTTTAGAATTTTTTTCCTGGCATTGTTGTCACATTTATCTGTCTTTAGAAAAGAAAAGAGATTTCTTTTTTTCTCTCGTTTCATCCAAATGATCAAATTTCTGCTCTCAAATATTGAATTTTTCAAATATTTAGAGAAAAAAACGCCCTAATTAACTTATACTAAAAATAGTTTTACATTTTTTATCTGTACCTGAGTGAATTTGCTCCAGGGGCTCCAGGGAATGATTATTCTAAATTGGCCACATGCCTCATTTAAACATTGACAACTGTGAATAAAGCTTGAAGCAACACGGCGGGTCCGTGCTTTGTGTTTACGCCCTTTTTGCGCTGATGTTAGCCGCTGTTTTTTCCCCTTTTACTTACTTCCGAAAAGAAAACCTAATTTTTGCTGTTCAATACTGAACAAATTAAAACTTTTTAAAATTATGCAAAATTGCAAAACACTTGGCTGTGTCTCCAATAAAACCTCTGTAACTTTGCTCTGCTTCACTTCAGCAGCATCAGGTAATGTTCATATGTTGATTAATGGTTTTCTTTCTACTGCAGAATATTTTCATAAAATCCCAGGCCAGGAAAATCACGTTCATGTTTTTCTGTGTTTTATCTTCAGCTACTTTGACACAAAGGCATCTGCTGTGATGCTTACACCTTTGATAAAGTCTTGCAAGTGTCAGCTTTCTTTTTATAGATATAAAAATATGTAAATGTACTGATCTGAATTATAATATTTCTAACTGTCTGAGGCAAAATTTTCCCGATTCAAATCAAATTGAATTGAAATGTGGATCAAATCGATTCGGGACCTTGTGAATCAGAATTGAATCGATTCTAGAAATCAGTGAAGATACCCAGCCCTAGCTATAAGGCTGTTGGTCCTCTTCCCATTCCGTCTGTCTCCGCTCCCCTCTTTCCACTCCAGATTCTTTTTTATGTCACTACTTCTCTTGCTTATCTTACACTGATAAACAATGTCAGATGAATGTTGTTGGCTGTTGGTAGTTTTCTCTTTTAAATAAAGCTAAATTAAAGTGAACTGATAAAAATGGATATATGTTATTGTATCTCACAAACAGAATTATTCATAATTTAGTTTTGTGTGTCTGCAGTCTATCAGGCTGTCTGATCACTGAAGAAGGCTGCACTTCTCTGGCCTCAGCTCTGAGCTCCAACCCCTCCCATCTGAGAGAGCTGGACCTGAGCTATAATCATCCTGGACACTCAGGAATGCAGCTGCTGTTGGCTGGACTGAAGGATCCACACTGGAGACTGGACACTCTCAGGTATGGCGAGAATGTCTGATAGAGAAAGAAGAGCTGGAAACATATTCTGTGCTCTGCACTCACTTCCTGTTTGTTTCAGGAAGATGTGACATAAACAATCACACAATCAGGAACATTTTGCTCACAAGAAAAACACACTTGAAAATGATCAGTGAGGGATCTTAATGTAGGAGGTCTCCAAGGACAATATCTTCAGGGTTAAGTTGTAGAAACAAGTAATATATATCTCAGTACATTTAACAGTGCTGTACTTAAATACATCTATCCCTTTGGCCCTGATTAAGATTAGATTAATTTCAGTATAGAGGGACCTAGGGGATATTATTCAAAGTTTACTACAAACAGGAGATTATGCTGTCCTACCTTGATCACAAAAAAAGATGATGGCCCAGGTGGAAGAGACAGAGGCAGAAAGGAAATGACAAAAAGGAGCGTTTTTTGGCCCAAATACAAAACTCAAAATCAGGAAACACAATGTCCATAAAACAGAAATCCAAAGCAGGTACAGGAAACACTGGGAGCTACTTGCAAACAAGAGACAGGTGAGAGCACACTACGAACATGGACACTATGACACTGAGCTGATGATAAATCCATCATGTCTAGTTGTCGCTGTCTTAGTAATTAAAATAACAACTTTTAAAGAGTCAAAGATGAAAACTCTTCTAAATCCATTCCAAAGAAACCTCCTGTTTCCACAGACTAATTTCCCTTCAGATGAACAGTACACTCCCTTGCAGTGTTGCACGTGAATTATACTTTGGCATCAGATTTCCATAATACCTTAAGCAATAACCTAATTTTAATCCCAAGCCCCAACCTTAAGTTAACCTGATGTTGACCTTCTCAGAAATGTAACTACATGTCTGGTAAATATATACCACAATGACTGATGTGGAAGGTTTCAGTGAGGGGCTAAAAAGACTTTCTGATTACAACACAAGTTAGGATATGCCTCAGAAGTGTTAATCAAGCTTAATTCAGAATCAAGTCAGTCAGTCTGATTTTTGATTTCTAGATGAAATCACTGGTTGATAAGCAGTGTGAGTTACAGAAATGAATTTTGTTCCATCACTTTGTGACTGTTGTTGTTTAACTAAAAGACTTGTTAAATACTATGAAATGTTGGACTGTTATTTTATCAGTGTCTAACAGTATGTGTATGAGAGCGATGTAATGTCCATGTGTGCATGCTGAAAGAGACTGTGCTGGTCTGATCCCCCTCTGTTCTTTTCAGGGTGGAGCCTGCTGGTGTCCAATGGTTGACACCAGGTCTGAGGAAGTGTAAGTGTGTTTTTAATGTGATTCATGAAAACAAAGCAGTACACATTCAACCATCTTCAAACTGTCACATCACTTCACATCTCTGATGTCAGGAGTCATTATCAAAGTGTCAATCAATGAACATGTGATGAATCAATAACTGCAGCTGGATTGTGTTTGTTCTCTCCATCAGATTCCTGTCAACTCACAATTGATACAAACACACTACACACAAACCTCAAACTGTCTGACAACAACAGAAAGGTGACACATGTGGAGGAGGTTCAGTCATATCCTGATCATCCAGACAGATTTGATGTATGGTCCCAGTTGCTGTGTACAAACAATCTAACTGGTCGCTGTTACTGGGAGGTCGAGTGGAGAGGAAACTTTTATATATCAGTGAGTTACAGAAGAATCAGAAGGAAAGGACGTAGTTATGACTGTGGGTTTGGAAACAATGATCAGTCCTGGAGTCTGAGCTGCTGTGATGATGGTCCTCTTCGTGTCTGGCACAATAACAAACAAACACCAATCTCCTCCTCCTCCTTTTCCTCTTTTTACATCTCTAACAGAGTAGCAGTGTATGTGGACTGTCCTGCTGGCACTCTGTCCTTCTACAGAGTCTCCTCTGACACTCTGATCCACCTCCACACCTTCAACACCACATTCATTGAACCTCTTTATCCTGGTTTTGGGGTCTTGTTTCCTGGTTCCTCAGTGTTGCTGTTTTAAACTATTCTAAATTATTTCTTATAAACTTCTTCCTCTTCAGTCCTTTAACACTTGAAACACCAGAAGGGGTCAAAATGACCCCTCTGACAGAAGCAGGAAAACAATGTCCAGGGGTATCCACTGTGACCATGGCTCACAAGTAATCAATAAAAGTCTAAGAAGCTCAGAAGAAATAATTTCCTACTGTCTGGAGAAAACCGCTCACCATCTGATGGATTATTATGTTATGATGAACGCTGACTGGCCTCAGTTCAAATCACCAGGCTACCTGTTGGACATTCTCAGTGAGGGATGCATGGTAGTTTCTTTGGTCTGGGGTATAGTCTTGTTAGAAGAATAGTTGAAGTGTCCACGCCACGTCCTAGCTTATAGCACGCCTCAGAATCAGTTTATTAGAATCAGTTTAGAAACATTTCCACATAGTGTAAATTATGATCAAAGTAACTGGACCTTCCTTATTTTTTTTATTTGTGTGTTAACTACAGATATTTAAAATCTTTGTGTGTATCTGGAATGAGTACTCTCCGTGTTTTAAGAGGGTACAGGTAAGAGCACTTCTTCTTTTATGTGAAAAAGTGATCATTTTTAAATTAAACAATTAGCATATAATATATTGATGTAGTGGTGATGGGTGCTGACAAATAACTACCTAGAAAATAAACATAAAAGCACAAAAATAGGGAAAGAAATGGGTGTGGGGGGCACTTCACAGTTACCCAATAAGATTTATAAACAAGGTTTTGGTTGTAAACCATTAAATGTTACATGTTTGCCCACCTTCTAGTGACAGTCACTTTGTAAAACATGCAACCATATTTTTGCTTCAAGAAACAGAGAGACATACAGGTAATTTTGCATCCTAATGCATTACTGCACCGTAAACATCAGTCAAAATATTGCGTGGTATTGAGATTGGCAAAAAAAAGAAAGGTAAATAACCAAAGAAAGGCCTCTCAAAGCTTGGGCCAGCACCCCTCTGAGACCTCCATTCTACAAAAATTGTGAGAACTCACATTTAAATCATTTGAGCTATTTCTGTAAAACTCTGTCTTGGTTTTATTTGTTGCTGTAGATAGGTAAATGTAGCCGATCACCAAATAAGTAGCGAAAGCAGCATTTCTTTTCATTTATATCTTTGTCAGTCAGAACAGTTTATCTCAGCATGAGGCCAAAACTTTTTTTTTTTTGGATGAATTGTGGGAAGCTAAAACAGTGTGTTTCAGCAGAGTACATATTTTTTATTATAAAGACTTAAGTGGTCCAGTTGTTTATGAGTAACAGTTTAATAGAGTACTTCATATCCATGTCCATATTTGTACTCTTGCACAATTCACAATTTAAGTAGGATACAAGTAATTTTACTACATTTTGCAGCAGCTTAGAGGTAGTTTCCAAAAATCTGCATTATATACATAAAATGTTTCATGTCAAAAATTTATATTTACTGTAAACTGTAATATTTATAGAACGTAGTATTTCTTTTATATGTTTTCTTAATGTTTGTTAGCAAAAAGAACTTTTTTGTTTATGAGAGAGGATGTAAAAATGCTTTCTTTTTCCCCTTCAATGCATACATACAAGTAACTAGTGTATAGCATCAGATCATCTTTAGAGGTTCTTACATTGACTTGCATTAATAAATTCATTATGATGAATGCAATAATATTATTATAATATTTGGCCACCTCAGTTTAGGAGTGAATGAAGCCTAAATGTAGCTTAAAGCGCATTTAGTCATGCTCACTGTATTAAAATGTATGGATGTTGCTTTTTGCCACTTCAAGCAGTGTTGGTCCCGAAATGATTGTAAACAGATTAATGTCTCCAGAATATGAATAACACACACATACATAATATGAATAGACAACCACTAAATCATAAAAATCCTCAGAACGTGTGCACGTCAGGGCTATTGTACAAAGAAGAAATTAAATAGTTGCTGGTGATAAACATTGCTTCACCTTTCTTAAAAACCAGAGTGTGACTGAAGACAGAGAGGGCTGTAGGTTATTTCAAGGTCTTGTCTGTTGTGGAAAGTTCAGAAAATTAAATTTTTTAAAAAGAGGTTAAAAATCCAGTGTGATAAAAGTAAATAATTTTTCAGTTTATGTGAAAAAAAGAAAAGAATTTACGTAAGTGCCAGTTCACAGTTTCAGTCGTCTCAGTAGGTTTCATACGGCAAGGTGAGGTTACACAACTATAAGGAGAAACTTTAAGACCCTGTGACCAGAAGGGACAGAAAGGAAGAAAAAAAAATACAATAAAAAATGTAAATGTTTAACATATATCACTATGAAACTTCATCATCGTGATCATAGTGGATAATGGCGATTAACATCATTATTTCTTTACCAGTGTTCTGAAATTGTTTTATTAGATATGCAAATTAGACCTCAACTGTCTAAATATGTGCTATTTTGAATACAGGAACAGAAATCTGAAAACTACATAAAGCTTGTTTCTAAATATGTTTTCCATTTTGCTGGCTGACTAGAGTCAAACTTTTGTTGTTATCAGTTCATACATCTTAAAATGCAGTAAAAAAAAAATCTGTTTTACTACAAATAAAATTATCTGATTCTTTTATTTTGGGATATTTCTGGGTAAAAGAAAAAATAGATAATTCTTACAACAACCTCAGGATTATATCTGCAGAATTAGGTATGGGCATCCGGAATACCTCATTATCACTAATAGTTATTCTACTGGAAATAATCAGTTTGATTTTGGTGAGTGTGGTGCCTGGGCAGACTGGGCTGGACACTGTATCCACTTGCTGAATTTGAATTAATCAGACAGTTACCTGTGGTCCTCTGACATTGGTACAAACTGACTCAAGTGGACATCACAAAGATGTGGTATGGAACCCAGGCAGGTTAAGATCACTTTAGTGTCTAATCTGACACACACAAAAATGTTCTCACAGATAAGTTAATGTTGAAAGGAGTGCAGCACATGTCTGAAAATGGCTTTGAAACTCTAGGAAACACAAAAAACATTGGTAAGTGCTTAATTAGAACAGTATGGTACTTTTAGGTCAGCAAGGCATAGACAAGAACCACTGAAATAAATATGAGCCCTGTAAATTTAGCTTCTAAAAACAGGGTAAAACGTAGCATGGTAAAAGGAAACTTTTGCCCTCCTCCTGCAAGAAGTAAGATTAAAAGGGGCACTTGAACTTAACAGAAAAGAGACAATTAAAGGAAAAAGTAAACATATTATGAACTCTGACACAGCAGGGAAGAGTTAGTTTGGTAGACCTTGATTCAGGAATTCAGGTGCTCCGAATCCAAACTCTGAGAGGAAACAGACTGAGCTGCCGCCATGCCAAAAGTCATTTGGAAAAAGAAAAGATACGTAATCCAGGCCTGGGAATCCAGTTATGATTACTACCTTAATGCATGTAAGATAACCAGGTGTTTACATGAGTTGCAGTAATCACAGTATTGCTTGCTGTGGCTGTAATCATATTATTAAAGTGCACAGTGTCTGACTGAGACTGATAAGCCTGGAGTCGCAAGAGGCTGGAGAACAAACTTCAGATTCATGAACACATTATGACACATGGCTCTAGTAGCATACTGCTGAGGCCAGCACTTACACAATGAAGGGAATACACGGATTAGCTAGATGCAGTGGGTTGATATATTGTTCTTTAATGCAAATGCAACCTGGTCCTGTCTGATATGATGGATGCAGGTTGGGTGGACTGCAGTCACATGTGATTTAATATCATTTAAGGCCTTACAACAATATTATTATGTAGTCCTGTAATGGACTGATGACTGTCAGCACGGATAGGCTCGAGATCATGTACTGGATAAGTGAGGGGGCGGAGCAAATCAAGAGGCCCTTCTGATAAAGTTAATTTTAAATAGATTATATATGCCATCAAAAAAGTTATCATTATTAAGTGTTATGTAAGGAAAAGCACAAAACAAACTGTAAAAATGTTACATTAAAATTTTTACAAGTAAAGTATTTAAGGTCAAAGTCCTCACAGCAGGAAATGGTCCCAATAGGAGTATGCCCTGTACACTTTACTGTACACATCCCTACAAGTACTCCACTGGATTGAGATCGACTGTGACTGTGGAGGCCATTTGAGTACAGTGGACTCATTTGCAGGTTCAAGAAACCAGTTAGAGATGACTGGAGCTTTTGTGACATCATCCTGAAAGCATCCATTGTACTGTAAGATTGCTACACTGTGGTCATTAAGGGATAGATACAGTAGCAGCAATGCTCAGATAGGCTGTGGTATTTAAACCATGCTCAGCTTGTATTAAGGAGCCCAAAGCGTGTCATTAAAATATCCCCCACACCACCAGCCTCAACTCATAATGCAACGCAGGATGGAGCCATGCTTTCATTTCCTTACATTGAATTCTGACTCCATCATCAGAATGTCACAACAGATATCAAGACTCATCAGATCAGACAATGTTTATCAATTTTCTACTGTTCAACTTTGGTGAGGCCATCTAAATTTAGCCTGAGTTTCTTGTTCTTACCTGACAGCAGTGATACCTGGCTCTACATGCTGTGTTCAGAGATGCTCTTCGACATACCTCAGTTATAACGAATAGTTATTTGAGTTACTTTGCCTTCTTATGAAGTTAAAGCAGTATGACCTCTGACCTCTGGGATCAACATGCTCACTGGATATTTTCTCTTTTTCACACCAATTTTTGTAAAGCCTAGAGATCATCGTGTAAGAAAAGCCTAGTGGATTAGAACCACTTAAAAACATAAGAGCCAGATAAAAGTAATTTCTAAAAACACGGTAAAAAAAACAGCATGATAAAGGAAAACTTGTTTTCCTCTTTTATTACACAAGAAAGAGACACTTGAACAAAATAGAAACAACACTGTTAAAGAAAAAAGAAATACAGTTTTGAGTTTTTCAGAGTCAGATCAACCTGTCTGAATACCATCTGGCACCAACAATCATGTTCAAAGTCATTTAAATCATTTTTCCCCCATTCTAGTGCTCACTTTGAACTTCAGGGACTCTGCCTAAATGCATTGAATTACTGCCATGTGCAGGTGTACTTATTAAAGTGGCTGGGGAGTCTTACTATAGAGAAAACATCAACTTTCTGTCTAGCTCTTCTTCTACTGTCATAAAAATATTTACTTAAAACAGCCACTGGGTGGCGCATTTTACTAATATTTAAAACATAAAATTAACCAAGCAGTAACATAACAGAAATTATAGAAACAATTTTGAAACATTTTTTTGAAATTAATTTGGCTTGTTTTATAACTATTCTGGCAGTGGGAATAAACTTCTACTCTGGATAAATGAATAACTGAATGAAGGTATATGGAACTATGTAGCAAAGGAAAAAAAAACTCTCAATATGTCTTATATTTTAGATTCCTATAAGTAGCCACCCTTTGCTTTGTTGACAGTGCTGCAAACCCTTGGCCTTCTCTCAATGAGCTTCATGATGTAGTCACCTGAAATAGTTTTCACTTCACAGCTGTGCCTTGTCAGGGTTCATTTGTGGAATTTCTTGCCTTCGTAATGGGGTTGGGACCATCAGTTGTGTTGTGCAGAAGTCGGGTTGGTACACAGCTGACAGCCCTGTTTGACAACGGTTAGAATCCATATGATGGCAAGAACCAATCAGCTAAGTAAAGGGAAGTGACAGTCCATCATTACTTTAAGAATTGAAGGTCAGTCAGCCTGGAAAATTAAAAATTTTGAATGTGTCCTCCAGTGCAGTCACAAAAACCATCAAGAGCTACAACAAAACTGGCTCACATGAGGCCCGCCCAAGGAAAGTAAGACCAAGAGTCATAAATTCATCTGAGACTCAGAAATCACAAGTTAACAGCACCTCAGATAAATACCACTGAGTTCCAGTAGCAGACACATCTCCATAGAAGAACAGAAGAACTTTGTTTGGACCAAGAAACACAAGGGATGTACATTAGACCAGTGGACATCTGTGCTTTGGTCTGATGAGTAACCCATGAAGCATGGAGGAGGAGCTGTGATGGTGTGGGGGTGCTTTGCTGGTGACATTGTTGGGGATTTATTCAAAATTGAAGGCACACTGAACCAGCATGGCTACGACAACATTCTGCAGCAACATGCCATCCCATCTGGTTTGCGTTCAGTTGGACCATCATTTATTTTTTATTAGGACAATGACCCTAAACACACCTCCAGACTGTGTGAGGGCTGTTTGACCAAGAAGGAGCATGATGGAGTGCAGCGCCAGATGACCTGGCCTCCACAATCACCTGACCTAAACCCAGTCGAGATGGTGTGGGATGAGATGGACTGCAGAGCGAAGGCAATAGGGCCAGTCCTGGGAACTCCTTCAAGACTGTTGCAAAACCATTTCAGGTGGCTAACTCACAACGCTCATCAAGAGAATGCCAACAGTGTGTAAGGCAGTAATGAAAGCTAAAGGGTGGCTATTTGGAAGAATCTAAAATATAAAGTGTGTTTTGACTTTTTTCACACATTTTGCTTACTACAAAATTTCATTCATGATCATTCATAGTTTTGATGCCTTCAGTGAGAATCTACGATGTAAATAGTCACAAAAATAAAGAAAAGCCTTAAATCAGGTGTGTCCACACTTTTGACTAGTAGTCTGTGTGTGTTGTGTGTTTTGGAGCCTTCACTGTGGCCATAAG